CTGTCTCAAAAAAAAAAAAAAAAAAAAAAGAACAGAACAGAACCTAAGAAAAGGTAGGCGGCTTGCTGAAATTTCAAAGGGCTTTTGGGCCAGGAATGTAATCAGAAGTCTGTTTGGTTCTGGCAAATAAGAAAACAAATCCAGACTTAATAAGGATGCTTATTAGAAACGATTACTGCAAGAAGTGAGAGAGGTAGCAGAGAAGGCACTATGCAATAGCAAAGGGAGATTATTGCAATAGGGCGATCACTCTGACCAAAAAATCCACAGATGTGTCAAGGGTTAGGGAAAAAGAGGGTTTCCCCACCCTTCACCCTCTCCAAAGGAAGGTAGATAAACAAAGCTAGAAACAACCAAACGGGGGAAGTGGGATGAAAGGGTGGCTTGATTAGATAGCAGATTAGAGAATGTTTTATCTTGAGGCCAACCTATTCTCAGGAGGAGTTGATGCTAGCTCAAGCTGAGAGTGGGTTAAAGTGAGGAACCTGGGGAAAGGAAAGAAACTTAACCCAAGTTTGATTAACAAGCATCTTTTCCAACTGGTCAGTGGAGACAAGCAGCTCTGTAATCATTTATGAAGCCAAGAAGGGGAATTCAGAAGGACTGTGTCTGACCTTGCCACAGTAAACAAGGGAGGCAACCATGAGTCATTTAAGTGACATGAGAATGGGTGTTTCTTTGGAGTGAACAGTTTCTGAAGCACAAAAAGGTTAAGAAAGATTTCTCTTTGTTTTCTCTCTCTCTCTTATGTTTTTCTTTTTTGAGACAGGATCTCCCTCTGTCACCAAGGCTGGAATACACTGGAGTGATCATAGCTCACTGCACCTCCTGAGTTCAAGGGATCCTCCCATCTCAGCCTCCTAAGTAGCTGAGACTACAGGTGCATGCCACCATAGCAGGCTATTTTTTTCATTTTTTGTAGAGACTGGGTCTTGCTGTGTTGCCAGGGCTTATCTTGAACTCCTGGACTCAAGTGATCCTCCCACTTCCACCTCCCAAAGTGCTGGGATTACAAGTTTGAGCCACCTTACCCATCTTTTTTTTCTTTTTCCTTTTTTCTTTTTTGAGACGGAGTTTCGCTTTTATTGCCCAGGCTGGCGTGCAATGGTGCGATCTCAGCTCACTGCAACCTCTGCCTCCCGGGTTCAAGGATTCTCCTACCTCAGCCTCCTGAGTAGCTGGGACTACAGGAATGCACCACCACGCCAGCTAATATTTTGTATTTTTAGTAGAAATGGGTTTTCACCATGTTAGCCAGGCTGGTCTCAAACTCCTGACCTCAGGTGGTTCACCTGCCTCGGCATCCCAAAGCGCTAGGATTACAGGCGTGAGCCACCATGCCCAGGCAAAAAGGATTTCTTAACCATTACTATAAGAGGCATTCAAACCAGAGCGACTCCATCTTGAATAGAGGCTGGGTAAAGTAAGGCTGAGACCTATTGGGCTGCATTCCCAGGCTGGAGTTCAGTGGCACAATCTCAGCACAATCACAGCAACCCCTGCCTTCTGGGTTCAAGCGATTCTCCTGCCTCAGCCTCCTGAGTAGCTGGGATTACAGGCATGTACCACCAAGCCCGGCTAATGTTTTGCATTTTTAGTAGAGACGGGCTTTTACCATGTTGATCAGGCTGATCTCAAACTCCTGACCTCGTGATCTGCCTGCCTCAGCCTCCTAAAGTGCTGGGATTACAGGCGAGAGCCACCGTGCCCAGCTGAGGTTGGGCATTCTTAGTCACACGATAAAGCTGTAGGTCAGGACATGACACAGGTCACAAGGACCTTGCTGATAAAACAAGTTGTGCTGAAGAAGCTAGGCAAAACCCACCAAAACCAAGATGGCAATGAGAGTGACCTCTGGTGATCCTCGCTGCTCATTATATGCTAATTATAATGCATTAGCATGCTAAAGGACACTCCCACCATTGTAATAACGGTTTACAGATGCCAGGGCAATGTCAGGAAGTTGCTTTATATGGTCTGAAAAGGGGAGGAACCCTCAGTCCCAGGAATTGCCCACCCTTTTCCTGGAAGCTCATGAATAATCCACCCCTTGTTCAGCATATAATCAAGAAGTAACTATTAGCATAATCAATTGACCAGCCCATGCCACCCCTCTGCCTATGGAGTAGCAATTCTTTTCTTTCTTTTTTTTGTTTTTGAGATGGAGTCTCATTGTTCCCCAGGCTGGAGTGCAGTGGCGCTATCTTGGCTCACTGCAACCTTCTGTTGGAAATAGATCTTGGTGCAGCAAAGAAAAATAAGCCTCCTGGTTCAAGCATTTCTCCTGCCTCAGCCTCCCTAGAAGCTGGGATTACAGGCATGCACCACCACACCTGGCTAATTTTTGTATTTTTTAGTACAGACGGGGTTTCACCATGTTGGCCAGGTTGGTCTTGAACTCCTGACCTTGGGTGGTCAGCCCACCTCAGCCTCCCAGAGTGCTGAGATTATAGGCATGAGCCACTGTTCCCAGCCTCTTTTGCTTTCTTTCTTTTTTTCCGAGATGGAGTCTCACTCTGTTGCCCAGGCTGGACAGTGGCATGATCTCATCTCACTGCCACCTCCGCCTTCCGGGTTCAAGTGATTCTCTTGCCTCAGCCTCCTGAGTAGCTGGGATTACAGGCATGTGCCACTACACCTGGCTAATTTTTATATTTTTAATAGAGACGGGGTTTCACCATGTTGGTCAGGCTGGTCTCGAACTCCTGCCCTCATGATCCTCTCGCCTCAGCCTCCCAAAGTGCTGGGTTACAGGTGTGAGCCATGGCACTGGGCCTCCTTTGCTTTCTTAATAAACTTTCTTTCTCTTTACGGACTCTCCCAGAATTCTTTCTTGCCTGAGGTCCAAGAACTCTCTCTTGGGGTCTGGATCAGGACTCCTTTCTTTTCTTTTCTCTTTTTTTCTTTTTATTTATTATTATTGTTATTATTTTTTTAGGCAGAATCTCACTCTGTCATTGCCCAGGCTGGAGTGCAGTAGCACAATCTCAGCTCACTGCAACCTCCATCTCAAGTGATTCTCATGCCTCAGCCTCCCGAGTAGCTGGGATTACAGGTGTGTGCCACTACGCCCAGCTAATTTCTGTATTTTTAGTAGAGATGGGTTTTCACTGTGTTGGCCAGGTTGGTCTCAAACTCCTGACCTCAAGTAATCTGCCTCTCTTGGCCTCCCAAACTGCTGAGATTACAGGCATGAACCACTGTGCCCAGCCAGTACCCCTTTCCAGTAACATTACTGTTTTCCAAGAGCAAAGGCTCAAGTAAAATTCAACACTGCCAACTCTTTTGACTGTATCAGTTTCCTCTCCTGCTGCTGCCCTCTGAAACTGCACGCTGAAGTCACACTAAACTACTTCTAGTCAAGCACACTCTGCTCTTTTATGTCTCCACCCCTGCAATGCTCTGACCCTTGCTGTGCTTGTGTAAGCCTTTGTCAGTCGTCACAACCCATTTAAAGTGTGGGTGAAACTTAGACAAAATGTTGATGGAAAAAAGGAGTATATATTAAATAATTCTACTGATAGAAAGTTCTAAAATCAGCAAAACAAATCTCTTAAGTTGTTACCAGAAAGGCGTCCCGATCCAGACCCCAAAAGAAGGTCCTTGGATCTCTCCCAAGAATGAATTCCAGGCAAGTCCATAGAGTAAAATGAAAGCAAGTTTATTAAGAAAGAAAAGGAATAAAAAAGAATAGCTAGTCCATAGGCAGAGCAATGTTATGGATTGTTTGACTGAGTATATCTATACTCCCTCCCTCCCTCTCTCCCTCCCTCCCTCCCTTCCTTCCTTCCTCTCTCTCACTCTTTTGACAGTCTCACTCTGTCACCCAGGCTTTGGAGTGCAGTGGTGCAATATTGGCTCACTGCAACCTCTGCCTCCTGAGTTCAAGTGATTCTCATGCCTCAACCATCCGAATACCTGAGATTACAGGAGCCTACCACAGCCATCCGAGTACCTGAGATTACAGGAGCCCACCACCACACCTGGCTAATGTT